ATCCTTGTGTTTGAACATCTGTTGGCAGTAATTAACTGCAACTCTTCAAAACTACTTAGATTGTTCCTCCCCCATCTTTTCAGTGGGAATTTGTGTAGTTATCACCATTTTATTCAATATGCCTTTTAATGTGTTTCAGCACACCGAGAAGACCAGAACAATCAGACACCTCCTTTGGACAGAGGACACCTTCTCCATCCCTGACAAAAGCTGCTCCTGGTAGTGAAACCCCAAGAGAGAAACGGAGCCAGGGGCAAGCTCCCCAACACACTGATGGGCCCAGGAGGACTCTCCAAGTGGGTGGACACTCACCGTCTGTTTCCCTGGAGCGAGGCAGCACGCCTACCTCACCTTATTCCGTCCCACAAATTGCCCCCCTTCCCAGTAGCACGCTCTGCCCTATATGCAAGACAACGGATCTCACCTCCTCTCCTAACCAGCCAAACTTCAATACCTGCACACAGTGTCACAACAAGGTCTGCAACCAATGTGGATTCAACCCCAACCCTCATCTGACCGAGGTAATGGTTCCTTATGTCTCTATGGATAGCAGTAACACTATAAACAAGCTTATTCAGTGTTTTTAGCTCTGCTAAATTGCTTGCCTAGTTTATTAAGGATTGGCTTGTATGCAGTGTCAGAGCATATTAAGGGCCCACATAACAAGATAGAATGCTTTCTGTTGACTTTATTAGAAAATGTACTAAATACACACACACACTCACACATCACAAATGCACACAATGTATCTATCAAAAGGTGAGAATAAAAAGACCTAGAAAAAGAAGTGTTTCATCTGATGGCCGAGTAGATCAAGGAGAATAGGAAATTCTTAAGGATTGTATATACAATATTTCCATCTGTTATATTGTATGTATATATATCATAGAATCTGTGCTGATTCTCATAGCAAATGTTTATTCTTATACTTTGTTCAGGCTTCATATGTTTTATTCTTAGAGGATTTTTCAATGACCTTTCCCAAGAAATGAAAACAACAGTTGTCCTGATTTATTAGTACCATCAGTGCAATTGTGATAGCTGCTTTCTATAGCTTTCTACAGCTCTGGCTGATTTGCATTCTTCAGTTCTTTTAGGTATCTTTTCTTTTCCTTTTGGTTAGATAATATGCGGTGGTGGGTTGCAGGCGGTACGCCCCGATACGCACCTATTGGCGCCTGCTGGAAGCAGCAGCCACTGTACCTGAACAGTGCTTTGGAGGGCCTGCCCACCTGCCTGTTTCCTTACCTGTATTTGAAGGAAACGGGCCATCTGTGCACATAGCATATGGCGCCTGCTGGAGCATCGCAGGTGGGTGCGCATGTGTGCACAGCGTGTGTGCCCATGGTGCACGCCTGGCTCCCATTGAGCATACCAGTTGCAATGGTAGTCAAAACCCACAACTGATAATATGAATCAAAACATGAAATGAAAGGACACATATAATGAACAATTATATGCAATATAGGTAGTCCTAAACATATGACCACAATTGAGCCCAAAATTTCTGAGTAAAATAAAATATAATTTATGGTAACACAGCTGAATAAAAATAGACATTATGGTTTATTGTATAGTTGCATAGCTATTGATCTGAGTGATGAATAAGATCTCAAATTTCGTAATGATGTTAGAAAGGTATTTTCAGTGGGCTAATGCAAATGACCTTTCACCAGAGGATAAATCATTATATCATTTATTAACACCAAATACTTTTTATAGGTAGCTCTTTGGCTCCAAGAACACCACACTTTCCCAGTGTTTGGTCTGCAATCTATGGCACTTTAAAATACTAAGATTTTTTTAAAAAATAAAAAAAATAAAAAGAATCTCTTAAAATATTTTATGTGCTTCCTATTCAGAGCCAAATTGATATCTATTAACCTATTAATATCTTCAATGAAAAAAAAACCATTACTTTCTGTTGGATATCAATTTGCAAAGGGGGTGAACTCCCATAGCAACTACCCGTTCTAAATGAAAAATAAATGTAGGTTCTATAATCATAATCAAATTAGGCAACATGTGAAAATGCTTGATTACGTTCAATGCATCTGTTGTTAATAGCAACTACTGTGATAGGGGAAGCAATTAGGAGTGGAACTGTAGAATAAAGGAATGGGCAGTGGCATACTTTGGCCTTCCTTGATCATAGCCTCAGGAAATATCACTGCTCCAATTTAATGCCAATATCCTTTTTTCATGATAAAGTGCTAATTTTATTAGAAATGTGGCATTCAGCTAAGGATTAAAATATTTCTTTTCTTGTCACAGTCTCAGACCTGATTGCCCTAAGATTATTATTAAACAATAACAATAAATGTCTGAACTGCTATCATGCAAATCTCAAGTTCTATATAGATTTGACATCATGGAAAGCCTACACATCCAACTATTAAGCAGCTCTAGATATCCCCAGAATGATGAGAATGGATGCAGTAGGATGAACATGGATGTCATTTGAAAGATACTAACTGGAGCAGTATATTGTGCCACCATGTTGTGTTCTTCGCTATGAACACATAGTGTATCTATGTATCAGGAATCTAGTAACAAAATATTTTGGCTAGGGGAATTGTAATTCAACATATCTGAAGCATACCAGGCTGGGAAGGGCTGCCTTAGTTCTACAAAATTGTATATAATAGTAAGACAATTGTGCCACCCTGAAACAATGAAACATGTTTGAATACATCATCTTTTATCTAGTAGTCTTTAATTTGTAATTAAAATGGGATTAATTATTTTATGTATTTACTTTATGTCCTTGTTCAGGTCAAAATTATTTATATGCAAATAAAGATGCAACCCTCTAACCACAATTACAATTCAACTTCCATTTATTTCAATGCTGTAATATCTATAGCAATTCTGCTTGAAGGATGCACTGTTGTGTTAAATGCACATTTGCATTAATGTTTATATTTTCCAGTGAATTCCATTTAGAGAATGAAAACAGAATTTCTTGAATATTATTGAAGAGCATTAAAAGATTGAGAATAAAAAGTTCTAAGTTCAAATTGTCATCAATATATTTTGACTGAATTAAGCAAAACCATAAGAGCTGCTTAATATCTACCTCCTATCTTCAATCTTTATAAAGATATAAATAATGATATAAATAATACAAAATAAATAATTATATGATGACTCATTATCATGTTGTTATAAAGAATAGTAATCAAGCATCCTGTGAATTTCTTTATTTTTATTGTAATATCTTATTTGTAAAATTTGTGTTATATGGCCACACAGATAGGGGCCAAGACAAATAAATATGAAAAGTGCCAGAAATAGTTTTCCTAAATAAGAAAACTTTATCTCTCTTATCTGTGAGAGTAAGGAGCCTGGATTTTTATAAGACAAACTTTTATGACATATTATGAATTGAGAATTGGATTCTACTTCCTCAGCTGATTGACTAAAAAATTATTTCCGAACTTGATTCATTACACTTTTAAATGTCCAAAATATAAGATGGCAAACATTTATTCATTTAAGAAAGTAATATAAGTTTATTTAAAGAGTTCCACCAATGTCAGTTTTAAGTATTCTTTTAGCCAAATAGTTCTTAGATGCATGAGAATCATGATGTTTGAGAACATTATGCAAGACTTGAATATTCTTCATTACCTGCTATGCTGGTAGTATTTATTCATAATGCAATGTACATATAGGCAGTTTGATCTAGTAGCTAAGGCACCAGGCTAGAAATCAGGACAGTGTGAGTTCCACTCCTGCCTTAGATATGAAAAATGGCTGGATGACTTTGGGTCAGTCACTCTCAGCCCAACCTATCTCACAGAATTGTTGTTGGGGGGAAATGGGAGGAGGAAAAATACTGTTCATGTTCATTGCCTTGAGTTATTTATAAAAAAATAAATTCAGAGGGAAAATCTAAATAAATAAATTTAAATAAGTAAAATCAGAGCAGGCTTCAAAGTCTTTATTCCACCCAAATTAATTTATATTGCATGAAAGGAAACATTTATTTGTTCAATTGCTCTGCATTTGAATAGTAATGAATTAGATTACCATTCATTCTGAACCTATGTTGAATATACTTTTGAAAGTTTTATGGCATCATTTTTTAACCATGCCACCTTTATTCTTTCTTATTTAAGACGTAAACTATCCTCTCTGCTTAAAGAGAATAATTGCCATTATCCTGCTTAGTGAGTGACAACTCAATCTGAGATATAATCACAGGACAGAACAAAAAGGAAAGGCCTTTGTTCAATAGATAATACCAAATTTGAAAGAGAACATTACTTCATTTATTTAAACATGGTATATAATAAAACCAAATATAATGAAAGATACATGGAAGAAAACTAAAGAAGCAAAAGTATAATGAGAATAGAATGATTAAAATAGTGAGAGTACAGGTCCTATATGGGACTATTTGAAGATAGAAAATGGGTAAAGAGGGCTAAATAAGGAGTCCTTAGCAAAGTGGATGGGATTGAAAATAAAAGTGATGAAACTGAAATGGGGGAATGCCAAAAGGAAAGTTTGGGGAATGTGCATAGAAACAGAAGTATGGAATAGAAATGAATATTGTACATGTTGTGTCCAAGAAGAATAACGATGAGAAAGAAATCATATGTTGAATATTGAAAAAAGATAAGGCTTCAAGTGTAGATAGTGTAATCCAATTGGATTACTGTAATATGCTCTGCATGGGGCTGCCCTTGAAGAGTGTCTGGAAGCTTCAACCAGTGCAAAATGCAGAACGATGTGGTGTGAGCAATTATGTATGCTTGTAGAACAGCATATCTTATGCTTCTGCTCTGTGAATTCCATCTGTTGCCACTCTGCTTCCAGGTCCAATTCAAGGTGCTGGTTTTGAACTTTAAAGCCCTTCATTCCTCATCCAAAATCAGACCTGGCAAGAGAGACATGTTGTGGGTGTCAGCGTTCCAAGTAATGCACCCATTGAAAGGAGAACTCTGGGGCAGGTAGATTCCTCAAAGAACAAATTTATTGGATACATCATATTGGCACAATCGGTGAAAACCGACTCTGAAAATTCCCGTGGTTTTCACCTAATTAAAACAATGAAAGTTTTTTCCCTTCCCCCAAGTCATCAGTCACATTGTCCAATCGAGATGCTGGCCCGCTGCTTGCTTACTTCACTCCTCTTCTCCCAGCTACCTATTAGAATGACCTTGGTTCCCACAGGAAAAAATTTGTTTTGATTGCAAAGTCTCCGTTAATTATTACACCCCCCCCCCATCCCCTCTTCTGCCTTGTGGCAACTCTGAGGCTACAAAGATGGCCTCAGCCAGGTTCGCTTCAGGGTTGACAGTGTCTCATCACTCAGGGAACTACACTTGGCAGACCTGAGAAGGCAGACCTTTCCCATCATGGCTACTCACCTTATAGAATAGTTATACACCACCTGAAATGAAGTCAGCTCCATCCCTCCTTATTTTCCAGAAGTCTCTTAAGGCCTGTTGTTATCAGACCTAGAGATCTCAGGGGACTGGTGAAATCTTGAGATGGTTCCATTGCTGAT